GTCTGATAATTCTTCCTTGACTTTACCCATTATTCTAATATATTCTTTGGTTTTCCTCAAATGGATTTTTTCCTACCACAATGTGTCCTGGGACTTCCCAGAGATGGAGAGCCTGTGACCCTTCATGTCCCACCTAGGTAACCCAGCACCAGCACTTGCAGCTGCAAAACAAGCCACAAAGCCCATGACTGGACTTCCTACATGTCCTCAGTGCATTGCTGCCATGCTGATTTACCAAAGAGTTAAGTGCCATGTGGGTACCCAGAAACTGCGCAGTCCGCTAAAAGAAGTGCCTCTTAGATGCCTTGTGGAAAGTGATAGCATCATTCCAGACCTCAGAAAATCAGTGAAGAATAGCCTTTGTCCTTCCTGTGCTTTCAGAATTGCGACTAATGTAGTCATTGTTTTATTTCTGGATTCATTTTATCATGACCACATTCCAGTTGAAGCACTACTTATATTTGGGTTATACAGAAAAATTTGCTAGTAGGGTTACTTATCCCCGAATTTAATTGGAGCAACACTGCTTTTTCCAGGGAAACTGTGTACTGGGAAGACAATTTGTGCACCTAACTGGAGGCACGAAAGGAAGGAGGGAAATGGGTTGGTGATCTGTAAGACTGGGAAAGGCGTGGGGAGTTTCTTGGCTAGATGAGATTCTGGTACCACAATGGGAAACAGGCTGCTTGAAGTATGATACGTTCTCAAAGACAGGTGTGTTGGCCTTAGATGCCAGAGTTCCTCCAAGGACACCAGCTGCATTTGCTTTTTAAGAAAATTATTTGAAATGTCTCTAGGGACTGAATAATACAGTAAGGAATACCATGCTTTGTTAAATATCCCATCCTTCTGACTGAAATGCATTTTCACATAAGGTGAGTAGACACCCTGTGGACTTTCTGGGAAGCTGAAGATCAGAAGGTTTGAAGGTTTGATAGAGTTTACAGGATGTTAATATTTTAGGACACTACCTTGTTGCCACTGCAATAGGAAAAAAACCCAAAAAAACCCACTCTGCTTCCTAAAATAATTTTCAAGTGGGAAGCAGACAAGAGTTAATGTTTTTGACAGAAAAAGTACACTCCCTTGTTTAAACAAGTTGTCTCCATGTAGTCTGAAATAACAGTGTGGAGGAAGAAAAATTACTTTTGAACACGATTACACACTTTCCTTTTAATCAAGAAAGCATTTCTTATATTATAGACATAGAACTTCCTGTTCTTGTTGACCTGAAATTTCCCTGTCTGTTGTCCCAGTGGTCACAGGCCCATGGTTTAATTCATCTGAACTGTCTCACAAACACTGTCTGTGTGAGGAGCAATGTGCTTTGGTGCATTGAGACATTAGTCATCCAATTCCTCTGCTCAGGGAAAATGAGAGATGTGTGCACTCCCTCACCTGCTTCCCTGTTGTCTCAGCTTGCATGGGCTTAGTGTCCACGGTTGCCAGAGAGGTTCCAGGCTGACCAGGAAGCTTCCGAAGCACAATAAATTCACAGCTGTGCCAGCTGGGGTGCAGACAGAAAGTTGTGGATGATTCATCCCTGAAAATGTTAAAGGTCAGGCTGGATGGGGCTCTGAGCAACCTGGTTGAGTGAAAGGTGTCCCTGCCCATGGCAGGGGGGTTTAACTAGATGATTCTTGAGGTGCTTTCCATACAAACCTCTTTTCCACAGCTGAGCTGTGGTGCTTGGGATGTCCACCTGCTCAGAGGCCCCCATGGGGTATTCCAAGAGAGCACATGGTGCTCCTGTGCTGCCCACACGGTGTTGGGGACAGCTTGTGCTGGGCAGCCTCAGTCTTTTGGTAAAACTGCACTTCTGCAGGTATCTCAGCACTGCCTCTTGGAGCTGACAGCCTGTGCCCAGCCCATGCAATAGCACCCTGAGTCTGGTAAAAACAGAGCTAGGCAGGGCTTATGAACAGTGCTTCTAATGAAAAAAAGGCACTACTTGGTGCTTTACTGAGTTGGCTACTTACAGAAAGCTTTAAACTGAAATTGAAATTTTACATTTTCCTTCCAGAGTTTAAAGTTTCCATCCAGAGAAGCATCCATTTTTTCTTTCTACCCACTATCTCTGCTAACTGCAGCAGTTGCCTCTTCACTGCAAGCTTGAGTTGAGCTTTGCAACAACAGCACTGGTGTGTGGTGACAGTGCTTTCTACTTCATATGGAACAGGCTTGTGGCTCAGGGAGGGATTCACAGGGCCCACAGAATTGGCACTGTTTTCCTCAGTGCCTGAAATGCCAGGGAGGAGGAAGTCTGAAGAACCCCAGGCCTGCGAGGCTCTTAAGACAAGCTGATCTTCTCCAATCAATGGCCAGATATCAGTGGGATTGTGGGACAAACTGGGGGACAGTTGCTTTATTTAGAAAAGCAGAGCTGTTGAATTCTTCTAAACCTTTGTGAGTTCATGAGTGATGTATGGTTTTGTCAGATTGCCTTTGAAGCTTCATTAAAAGAGATCCAAAGTAAATTTTACATATTGCCATTTATTGCAAAGGGCTAGTATGCTTTTGTTTCCCCACTCAGTTTTGCCAGTAAGACCTGGTCATGGTGCTTTTCCCCCCAGGTGGAGACACAGACCATTATTTTTCCAATTCTATAAAGGGAAAGCTCCAGCTGTCTAGAAGTATTTTTTGTACAGTCTAATGTTAAGCCTTTAATTGAATTTTGTTTACTTGTAATCATGCTTTAAGCACGTTTCTTGTCCTTGACCAAAACCAGTGTCTTCAGTGATCTCTGTATTCATATTTTCAATAAAGGAAACAGGTATGATGGGTTGGCTTTCTTTTGTAGGTGGCAGACCTTCTATCCTCTCAAGCGTCAGGGACTTTCTCAGTTCTCTGAACTTTCAAAGAAAGTCAAAGGAGTTTGAGATCAGGATGAATTGTGATCCCAATTGCTGTTTTGCTTTGCTCCTTTTCTCTAAACAGTAGCTCACAGGAAATGAGTTAATACCAGAAAACTACCACTGCAAAAAAGGGCAAAGTTGAAGAACATTTGGATGTCAATAAGCTGCACATCTTGTATAAATCCTGAGATCACGCTGCTTTACGCTTCCTCATGTGTGATGCAAACAGAGAATAATGAGCAGGAATATTTAATTACCATTAGTTGATGTGGATAGTTCAGCTCCTTGCTTTGTGCACACTTTGCACAAGTAGAAAAGGAGTGAAAGCAGGGTGTGTGTGGGCAACATGAGAGACAGCATTGTGTAGAAAGTGTATAGCTGTTCCAGAGTCAAGCAGATGAGAAGGAATTTCTTTCCAGGTGCCTTGGATCATTTGTAAGTGACACAAAATACATCCTCTGCAGCGTGTCTTGTCCATTAAGAAGTGAGAAATACTGAGTTTCACCCTCTGCCTACCCCATGGATAAAACAACAGGTATAATGAGGGGACAGACATCATTAGCTTTACCTCCAGCAGCTGCTTTAGGAAAGGTTCCAGTGCTACTTGTAGCTCTTGCAACCCTCTGGCAAGTCACAGGAAAGTCTAGACAGAAAAGCAGATGTCCATCTCCCCGCTTTGTCTCTCAATGCTAACAGCTGCCCTGATCTATTTACTGATAATTTACTGGTAAAAATGGAGACTGTTTTCTGGTCTAACAAAAATAAATGCAGGGGCTGTCTCTGTGATAAATTAAAGCCACCAGATTTTATTTCAGCAACAGGTTTCTGTTTTTAAATTATGCAGGAACAGATGATCCTTTCCCACCTTGAAAACAGTCAATTCTGGACAGGGAATTGTCTTCTGACTTCAGAGGTGAAGCATGTTTTTCAAGGCAGTGACCCCAGCCCTGTTTTGTCTGGGATAGAAGGATTTGGGAACATAACCACCTTCTGCAGTGGAAATTATCATGGCTGTGCAAAAATTACCAGCCTACAAACTGTGGCAATAAAATCTGCTGTGGCAGACCATTCTTACTCTTGCTTCTATTTCTCTGTAACTATTGAGTATCTGCCTTGATTTCTGGTGTCTGAGTTGACAGTTTATTTTGTCTTTGTTGGGGCTGGGAGAGTAGAACCCAGTGCTTTTTAGTGTTCATCCTGTGTCTGGCATGCAGAAGACTTAAATTTCTTTTTATACCAATTAGATTTTGGGGATATGATTTTCCTTTTCTCTGCCTTGGTCTTCTGCATTCCCAGGAATGACAACCTCACAGCACAGTTAGAAGGGGTCATGGAATAGAGATCGCAAGGTCCTGTGGTAAGCTGGTTGTTCAGGAATGTGGATGTCCTTAGGGATCAGTGCTGCAAACCTCACTTACAGCTGCTGGGCCTTTTGCCTGAACTCAGCCACAGCACAGAGAAAAGGCTCCCTCTGCCATGCCTCCCTTTCCTGGCCAGAGACCCTCTCCGTGGAAAGCCCCGACATTTTGTTACTACGCAAGATGCCAAAGAGCCTTTCATGTTCCTTGGCAGCACGCAGCTGGGAGATTCCCTTGTTCCAGCCAGCCCGTGTCTATTGAGCTGCTCTTGCTAAAAATGTGGTTTTTAAACTTCTTCCACTTTCGACAGTGACACCTAGGATCCTTTCTGTAGCACCAAGGCAAAGAAGACAGAAAAATCTCAGTACACCGTATTACCCAGACGGCCAAGAAAGGAGCAAAGGGGATGTTCTGGGAGCCTGTGGTCTGGCAGGGTCGGGGCGTGGGTGTCACACTCACATTCGATTTAAGTCGTGCAAGCAGCTGAGGGTGACAAGAACAGCCCAGCACCTCCGCAAGCTCACAGCCTTGGAACCGCCTCCGGGAGCCAGCAATTGGCGATTGGTAGCCCACTTCCCAGAAATGCGGGGCCTTTCTCCCTGTCCTTCTCCCCTTGACTTTCCCCGCCGGCCGCTCGGGGGAAATCCACCCTGTGCTGGCCCTCAGGGCCGCCCCTCCCCGCTGCCCCGGAGGCTCCCCAGCGCCATCTTGAGGGCGCCAGGCCTCGGCGTCACCGTGCTCACCCGAAGGCCGTAGGAAAGCAGATAAAAACACCCAGAAACTGCCCTATGATTCCAAGGTCAATCTTTTGTCTACAGCATCGGTTTGCTTTCAGAGTCTGGATGAGATTTCAAAATTACCAAGAGAAAAGAGCATGAACAAGTTCTGCATGAACAGAGCATGAACAAGAACCTCAGGGCTTTGAGGGGGAGGCTTTGTGGTGTTTACTTGCTCGCAGGGATGCACAGAAATTGTTGAAATGGTAAAAATAGCAAAACCCTTCATAAATTGGAAGGAAAAGCAGCTAGCACCTCAGAAACATGTTGCTTTTGCTCCTATCTTCTACCTGAGATCTGCCTGGGCAGGGGCAATTCTTCCGATTCCATCAGCACGGCCATGGCTAGAAAGGGCAGCAAGCAGACGCATTTAGCTTCTCCTGCCAGTTCCTGAAATCCCAGTTCTCATTTGTGTGCACTGGGGATTCTGCTTCAGACTCTGAACTTGAACAGCTGATCCTTGGGTGCAGTGCTGCTGCAGCAGCTGTCCCGCACACAGGGAGAGCTCAGGAGCCTCACCAAGGCCACCAAGGACCAGGGAAGGGAACAGGCCCAGGATCCGGTGCAGTAGCGTGGAGCTGTGGGGGATCTCTTGTCTTTTTGATGGGGGGTGGGGGGGAATGGAATCAAGAGGAGACAGGGGTCAAACATGCCTATGCCAGGCAGCATTTTCTCCTACCAGAGCTCCTCTGAGTTTAGAGGGCCAGTGAAGCCTACAGAGCAAATGAGACCCTGGAGTGAGGGAAGGGTTGGCAGGGAAGGAGTCAGAGAAGGCCTGTATAGGCATTTATCTTTCTGAGGGGCTCATGGGGAGATAAAGGAGACAAGGATGTGCCATCTCTCAACACTTCCTTTTTTCCTTTAGTAGTCATATTGTATTCACTGCATTAGAGAGTTTACTTGATCCATTTGATGCCAGGGAGCACAAAGAACTTGAACTTGCTGAAGTCCAGCCCTGCCTGCCTATCTTGGAGTGAGGAGAAAGAGAGAAGACTGGGTGGGAGCTGAGCTGAAATGGCATTTTGCTGCTTCTGATTTCGTTCCAGCTTTTGCAGCAGGGTGACAAATTTGTCCCTGCAAACCATTTTCCATTCCAAGTCACTTGTGGGCCTGGCTGGCAGGTCTGGATTCTTGAAGGGATGCTGCAGTTGGCAACAGGAGCTGTTGTTGATTTTTTCACGTTACTTAACCCCCCCTGCCAAATGCCATCAAACAGCTGAGGAAGGACTCAGAAGGCTGGCCCGGGAGGAAGGGGACCAAAAGCTTGGAAAAAATTAAATAAGTACTCCAATGATGACAACAAAAACAAAGCAATTAATTTTTGACAGCAAATGAACACCTGCTGCCCCCCAGCACTCCTAGGCTGGCAGGCCGAGCGGTGCCGTTTCCATGACATGAAGTGCTGGTAGCCTGGGGACAGAAACCAGAAAGCCACAGTCAGTCGCAGAAGTCTTCTGTCCTCCCTGTCCCACCATGGCCTGTGCCCAGGCCAGGCTGCTGGCTGTGCTCAGAGCCCAAACCTCCCAACCCATTCTGTGTTTTACAGAAGAGCAGCATGGCAGGCCACGTTCCACCTCCTCTGCTTAAGCACGGCACAGCAACCTCCTCAGCAGCTGCAAGCGCAGGATGCTCTTGTGCCTGTTGCCATCTGCCCCAAGCCCTTCTGCCACCTGTGCTCTGGAGCTGGGTACCCACCTCTGGAGACCTGCTGCCAGGAGAGGAGCTGATCCCACAGGAGGTTCTCATCCTTCTTGAAGGAGATGTCCCTGCAGACTGAGGTCTCCAGGGCTAGTGCAGGCACTTGACACAGTCCACAGACGATGCCAGCACTTCCCCATCCGGTCCGGGTACCAGTGCAATCCTTCTGGAAAAAAACAAAGAACTATTGCATGAAAGGCAATTCAAAACAAGACCTGGAAACAAGGAAAAGCATCAAAGGTTATCGATGTGTCACAGGCCAGGGAGGGTGTGACTACTCCGTGTGAGAATTAAACCTTTCCATGGGTGGGGAAAATCCCCACCTCTCCTGCCCATAAAAACACCCCTTCCTCAAAGGCTTCCAAAGCAGAGCAGCTGGGGCATGGCTTCGGAACCTGTCCACCTCTGCTGCCCCCCATACACATGGATGGATTCTTTTGTCAGGCATGTTGCCCCCACCCCAGCTGGTGCCAGGCTGGCTTGCAGAAGCTGTTCACAAAGCCAGGAGCCGGCTCCCCTTACACATATCTGTCCCCTGCTAAAAAGCAGCTTGGCAGCCAGAGGAAATATTAATATTCCCCACCACCGCTGAGCGGGGAACCTCCGGCATGTGGCCAGACCAAGCCCTGCCGTGCCTGGAAGCACAAGCATCCCCCGCCCCTCCGCCAGCTGGGGACTCATCTTGATTTTATCTGGGTGCAGAGTGTGTCCTCCAGGAAGGGGCTGCAAGCAAAGCCAATCGGCTCTGCCCAACCAGTGGGCAGCTCGAGGATGGTGTTCTCCAGCTCCGTGCTGCGCTCCAGAAGAACACGCCAGCCACGCCTCGGCTCGCGGGGACATCACGATGCCATTGAGCTGCAGGGGGATGTTTCCCCTTTTCCAGTCCATGGCAACTTCACTGCAATGTCACGACTTCTCCAACAGGATGGGGAGCACTGAGCCGCTCCCTCCACAACTCGCCAGGGACCAGCAGAAGCATCTTGGCTGCGCTCTCTCCTCTGTTCCACAGCTGCAGGGAAACCCTCTGGGATTTTCTTGGAGCGCCATGAGACACGTGCAGCTGGTACTTGCTGGGCTCCTGGATCCCCCCACTGTTTAGAGGGATGGATCTCTGCTGTCTCCTGGGCCAGGTGGGGGTCCTGCAGCCAAGAATGCTCAAGAAGATCTTCCAAGGATGGCCTGTCTGCTGGATCCATGGATAAACACCACCTGATGAGGTGCTGGCACTCTGTGGAGATAAATCAGAAACGGCTGGTCAGTGGGAAAAGGCTCCTGTCCGTGCTCTCCCAGGTTCCACGCCGCATAGGCCACACTAAGAGTGCTTGGAGCTGCACCCAAGCTTCCCATTAATCCTCCCTTTTGGAGGAGAGAAGCAGAGAGGCACATGTGCCACCTCCTCCAGCTAGGCCCAGGAGATCAACCTCCTCGCTGGCTGCAAGAGCAGGACGCCTATGTGCCACCTGCCCTCTCCCAACCCCGTTCCTCCTCCTGTGCCTTGAAGGTGCATCCCCACCTTGAGACACCCGGGGCGGGAAGAAGAGCTGGCCCCGGATGATGTCCTCATTGGTGTGGAAAGGAAGGTGCCCGCAGACCAGGTTATAGAGCAGGATGCCCAGGGACCAGATGGTGGCTGGCTGGCCACGGTAGCAGCCGAAGAGGATCCATTCCGGCGGGCGATATTCTGGTGTTCCTATGGGACAGGGGCGCAGCTCATCAGGCTGATGCTGCTCCCTCCCTTCCAGCCAGCTCCCATTCCACAACAGCCAGCCCCTGCCCCAGCGAAAAGTAACTTGGCTACAGCCGGCTGGAGAAGGATTCCCCCCTTCCTCCCTCTTCCCCCTCTGCCAGCAAAGGGGAGAACCTCTGCTGCCCGGCTGGGCCCCGGCTTTGGGCTCACCTGACATTCGGGTGTACAAAGTGTCCCGGAGGATCGTGCCGCACCCGAAGTCGATGAGCTTCGCCTCGCCGGTGGCCAGGTCAAGGACGATGTTCTCGGCCTTGATGTCGCGGTGCAGGACGCCGCGGCTGGTGC